ATCAACAAATCACTACTTCAAGTTAGCTTAACTCCTCTCACATCAAAAAATCACTGTTAGGAACCTCAATCCTGAACATCTCAAGACTTATCAGCAGCCAGGATTGAACAACTTGGATCATATCAGAGCTCATCTACAACTTGGAGCCACCGGATGATTCCAGTAAATTTCCATCAAGTGGATTCTCACCCTCCATGGATTAACCTTGACATTCTTCATGGGGGAGCCAATTCAGGCCTTTTTTTTTATTTTATTGGTTGAGTTTGGTGCTTGGTCTGGGTGTTGTTCTGTCATGGGTTTGAGTGGCCATGTTGTGGGAGTGGAATTAAAAACTTTATGAGAGGCTTGCTATGGATCCTTGGCAGGTGTTGGCAAATCTAGCAAGCCATCAGGATTAGCTATGACTGAACCCCAATGGCTTCATCTGAGTCCCCGGGGGTGTCCCTGGGGTGCGGGTGATTGGTATTGGATTTTTTCCACTAAGGGACCCCCCCCTGTGCTTTAGCAGAGACAAGGAGAGAAGGTTGAAAGATGTTTCTACCAACTTATGAGCCAGTTTTAATTGCCATTCTGGGTTCCTCAGTATAGTGGGAGCCTGCTAAAAAATCAAATTCATATTTACACCAAGGAATCTGAGGATTCTTTGAAGTGGTTTCACACCCAGCTTTGCTTCAAAGAAGACTGGCTGGCCAAAATATCTTTGTTGGTGGGGTCTGGGTAATTGGTATCCAAGTCAATCACTTCAATGGCTGATTTGTCTGGCTGAGATTGATTTTGAGTGATTTGGATGTTGTTTTGGGTGGTTCTAGGGGTTGAATGGTGCTTGCCCTTCATTGATATGGTGGTGATGTTGGATATGAGCAAACAGTGATAAAAGGGCAGTGGATATGTCATATCCACCTCGCAACGTCTAAGACTGCCCCTGACCCTGGGTTTTTGGATGTGGGGTCAGGGATGGACCTTAAACCCGGTCCTGAACCCCAGGTCCCCCAGGCTTAGGATTAGATAACCTATATTTTTCTACCAAGCTAAGAGCTGTAAAAGAATGTGGACTGCAGGACTTGAACCTGCATTAACCCCTGAGTACATGCAAGGTGCTCTACCATTAAGCTAAGTCCACACGGGAGTACGGGGTATACCCAAGAAGAGCATCCGCATTGGTCCGGTTAAGTCGACCAGTTAGGGCGACTTAACTGGAAATTTGAGCGCATTGGGACCAGCTAATGTCCCAGTTGGTTAATGACTGTCAAATCTGACGCTCGTTAACCTTAAGGCATTCTTGAATATTCATTATGAGACACCAGTTGAGCAATTCGGAGGCTGTCCGATTGCATCTAGACAGACGCCATGACTGGAAAAATGGCCTGGCACTGCGGATGACTCGCCGTCAGCAGCAGGTAAGGACCAGTTTACCGGCTAGCTAACTGGACCAATGCGTTCACTGCCCTCCAGTTAACTAACCTGTCCTTAACCAGCGGTCAACTTGACCGGACGAACGCGGATGCTCTAACAAGATCATGAAGGTTTGGATACGCATGCAAGTTTGGTAATTCCCGGTTACGGTTACCAAGCGGGTTTAACGGGACGAGAGTGTGCTAGATTTGGAAATCTGAAAGAAACAGGGCTTGGTCAAGGGGGAGCACGAATAGAATCACGTCGCGGTGTTTACAGAGATAACCCAAGACTTTGGTCTGGCTGGTGGAGCCAGAGAGGTTATGACGAACAGCCGCATTCCGCTGTCAGACACATCGATATTTCGATATACCGATCTCCAAAGCTTTCCGACCATGCAGGTGAGTTATCCAGAGCCGATGCGGAACTTATCTAGGCTGCATATCAGGTTGAATTTGACTGGCGTATCAGCCGTCTCTGAAAACAATCAAAGTGCTGCGGATGACAACCCACACGCAAGGGAATAACGGGCGAGGAGATGATATTCCGATCCATGGAACCGACTGATGGGGACTGGACGCAAGGAACCTGCATGTTATCAGACCACTGGGGCTGATTAACAAATTAGGTCCCATTTGCGCACGCCCATATAAAGCATCAAGCGTTCCGCGGTCAAGATCGAGGGACTTGCTGCTCGCTCAAGTTCTGGCTGAGTTTGTTTTGGGCCAACCCCGCTGCTTGGTCACATATCTGTCGAAGACATTCCTGATCAAAACCGACGTCACAAGGTTTGTACACTCGGCCGGAAACTGAACGGCTTCTTATCAACATCAACTAGTTCTTTCTTTGCCGCCTTACCGCTCAAATTTCTCTTGCGATGTTGCTAAGTTACTGGTTGTTGTAAGTGAAAGAAATTCATAACGCCGTGCATCCAGGTCCTCCTGCCTGTGGTCGGGAGAAATTGGAGCTCATCCACTCGTTTTTTTTTGCATTCCTGCTTATGTCCCTCTACTTGGTGTGGGTTCAATCCTGGGGTATCGCTCTCATTTTGAACCACACTCCATCTAGCCATGTCATTTTTACCTTACCACCTACCTTCTTGCTTCATTTGGCCTTGAGGCCGATGATGTCTTCGAGGGACACGTTCCGCTTGAAGTTCTTGGTGACCGTTGCCGTTGCTTACACGTTTCCCTGGGATAGCTATATCATCAAAAACAAGGTAGATAATATGACAGTTTTACTTTTTGCAGAAACTGTCTGCGCTATGATATTTAATTCTCTGTCCTGCTTGGCTCTTTTTATCGTAAGGCTTGGGGTTATCCAGATTGGTCTGTATTGTACACGTTGCTCGAGGTGCCCGTTGAAGAAATTTTCTTCTTCATTATCCAGACTTTCTTCACCACGTAAGTCCTGTCAATAAGTCACGTAATCTCGGAATTTTGGTTTCGCATCTGGCGCCGGTATTCTGATAAAATTATGTTCATTATAATAGGTATATTTATACACTGTTTACGATCCCGATTATCCCAGCACTCTACCTTCTTCCAGGACCAAATGATCTCGAATATCGGTCCCCAATGGCTTGGAAACTATTACGTTGGGGCCCTAGTATTGCGGCTTTAGCGGTGTCAGCCATCTCGTGGGTTTGGTGCCAACCAGGAAATAAATTGTTTTATCTCAGCGCAACTGGCTTCTGGGCATTACCAATCTTTGGAGGTCTCTGGGCGCTCGGTGGAGACCACGTGATTCGACGGCCGTATTCAATTACGATCTCCATTGTCATCCCGACGATCTATCTCAGCTTTACTGACACCATAGCCATTCGGAACGGCACTTGGTTTATTTCGCCAATCACCAGCACTGGTATCTTCGTGGTTCCTAATCTGCCTCTAGAGGAATTCGCGTTCTTCGCCATTACCAATGTCCTACTCGTGCTTGGACTCGCGACGATTGAAAAATTTGATGCCATCGCGGACACCTGGCCCGAGCTATATCGTCAATCATCTTCCTCTGAAATACCGTCATCGAACAGCGCGTATTCTGCTCATGCGCCAGTCAGCTTTTGGGCTCAATTCCGCGACCTGGTCCAGGCTATTGACATGGGCACTCGACTTGAGGCCAGAATCAGTAAATTCACACCTGCGACTTCCAATAGGATTCAGCAGCTCAATCGAACTTTGGAAGTCTTGAGCGTCGCCAGCAAAAGCTTTTACTCTGCCAGTTTCATCTTCCCTAACTTCTGTGCCATTCGCTCGAAATTTATTCTACTCTATGGATTTTGCCGAGAAACCGACGATTTGATTGACCTGGCAACCAACAAGCAGGAAGCTAGGGACATAGTGAAAATGTGCAAGGAATTCTTGGACCTGTTATGGCCTATCGATGACCCGGATCATAAGGACGCAGACGTTACTCCAGACGGTCTATCCCCATGCGCCGACATCGAGTTCAAAGAGGTGCGATTTCAATCGAGGCTCGAGCAATTTGTCAACGCCAAGGTTCCCGAAAAATCTCGTCCGACGTTTTTAATCTTTTCCACCATGCGCAAAATTCTGAGACGCGAACCTTTTGACGAGTTGATTAGTGGATATGAATACGATTCGATCGAATTTGTCAACAAGGAAATCAAAACTGAAGACGACTTGATGCAATATTCTAGATGGGTGGCGGGCTCAGTGGGCGAAATGTGTGTATCAATCATGTGGTGGGTGTATGGAGCCCCAGACAACGTAAACGAGCGCCATTCGATTCTTCGCGCCGCCAATGAGATGGGATGCGCGCTCCAACTGATCAACATCGCGCGGGATGTGAAGGAAGACGCCAAGATTGGGAGAATCTATGTGCCCAAGGTTTGGTTCGAAGGTCAAGTCGATGGATTACACTTACAAGACTGGATGAATTTGAAAAACCAGTCCGAAATGGAAACTTTCCCGTATGAGATCGTCGCTGGCAAGTTGTTAGAAATTGCCAATCAGTACCAAGCTCGAAGCAGAGAAGCTATCGAACGATTACCTCTTGCTTTTCGCCCTGGAATCAGGGCTGCCACCCGAGTTTACATTGAGATTGGAAACAAAATCAGGTCTAGATTTCAAGCGGCCGCCTCACTCCGAAGTCCACCATCCAAAGCAAGTTACGATTTCACGACTGATACGCGTGGCTCCTCAGATTCCGCCCCGAGGGAAAAGCAGTTTTTCGGAAGCTTGGAAAAGCAATCAGGATCGAGAAGTCTTGGTTGCTGGGACAAGACGGGGCTCAATCGTGGCGAGAGATGGAATGGCGATCGCATCTTTTTGACCCAATTCCAACGACTCAAGGTTGTGGTTCGAGAATTATGGGGCCTCGGTGGAAAGTGAAGTTCCATTGTTTTTACTTATTCTGTTACCTGCATTCTGAAAGAGACCCTATGGTTTGATCATTCTTGTATTTTCCGCTCTTGAAACTTAACAATCTGACATCCCTGATCAAGAAATTTTTGTTTTCTCTTTTTTCGAACCATTACTACGATTGTTCTGTCCTCCCGTCGCGTCACTGTCCTGGCAACATTTACAATCATAAAACCTGTCAAAGATTTTTCCCCCTGATGCTGAGTCACTGACAATAGAAACATGAAATGAAGTTATGATCACTGCAAGCTCCGGCGGTCCGCTGTGGAACAAAATGCGACAATATATGGAGCGCGCCCCCACACAACAGCTTGATCTTATCACCCATGTTCTGTTTGGGCTACTACTCAAGAGCCTTGAATGGGCTGAGGGCTTGTCCCTCCAAACTTAAAGACACCATTGAGTTATAATTCATATATTTAGGCGAAATGGATATCGTGTATTTCATACTTTTTCGAGAAAGGTTACAACATCAGCTGAACGCGGAGAATGGAGGTATCCTAGTCACATTCCTCAGCCTTCCTTCGCATCGTCAACCGAAGATAAATTTTATTCACGACGTTTTCTTTAAAAAAAAGAAATGTATTTTTCGTCGATGTTGGAACGTCAAAGAGAGGGAGGGGGCTGGGGAGTAGAAATTGATCCAAAAGTTGTTAGTAAATTATGACATAGTCGCGGCATTTTTTGATCAGTGATCCAGCCGAAAGCTGTATCCTTGCATCCATCCTGGGATCTGTAGCCGAGACCGATCAGGAAGTTGGGAACTTACACACTCAGAGGTTCACTGGTGAGAAATTCGCAGGCTCGAGAACAATTCCCTCTTGGTCTTCCTGACCACCGGACTTGAGATTTTCTGCATCGACTCGAGCTTGGATTACATCTAGCTTTTGTTTTATGAAAGAAGCAGATTTCGCCAAGTCTTGCTTGTCATCTAACGTTTTGGCCTCGCGCCAGGCAGTATGCTTGATAGCTATGGAGAGCAACTCGACATTCAGAGCATCCTCGTAGACTTTACAACGTTCGGTTTCAGTCAGGTCAACGCCATAGACCAACGCGTTGAACTGCGTGTTAAATCGTTGGATTTCCTGCTCTCCTTGGCTTAGGGCGTACATGGCTTCTCGCATATTTTCTAGTGCGTTTCCGGTTCCAAAGGATTCCTGGAGATGGCCCATGAATGCCTGTGAGCTGGACAGTTCGGGTATTGCATATTTGTCCTTGACCGAGACCGCGTGGCTAATGGGCAGGCCCTGGGCTCGCGCATTTTTTTTCAACAGGCCGATCCACCACTGGAACGAGAACGCACTTCTTTCCATCGAGTTTTCCCCATCTGGGAATCTGAAATGGC